GCCAGGAAATTAAACCCGCCATCAGCTTATTTTCAAGCAATTCTCGAAAGAGGGAGCTACTGCCAGCTTTGTCAGCATATAGCTGCATTGCTCACTTATTATACTTCCGAGTGTCTTAGCTTCTTAAAAAGAGCAAACACTGGGAATTTTGATATAATTTTTTATTTATTACCTTCTATCAAGTTCTGATTTTCTTAATATTTAATTAATTTTATTTTTAATAATAAACTTGACAATAATTTTTTTTTTGCAATTTAGTACAGCGTCTGCATATTTCTTTGCAATAACACTAAGCTTAATTAATGACAATAATAACTAATAAAATTTGAAAAAAATTAATATATCAAAAAGGATTTTTGATATATTAAGAAAAAATCATTACCGCGGAAGCCTCTTGAGGAGGTACAGCGCTTGTAGCTTCTTTCTGATGAACGTTCGGCGCAGAGTCCAGTGGATTCTGTAAGATATTTTTCCATTCACAATCAAAACATCTCATGTAGCTGCGCCTGGCGTTGTAGGGGCATCCCAGCAACATCACTAACTTGGGATAACCACAATGACTGCATATGAGGGCTTGGTATTCTATGAAAAGTAGCCCGTTTAATCAGTTTACTATACTATATTTTCATAGCTATTAACCATTTTCTGCTTATCCGATGCTGTAATGCATGACACTTGATTGTGGATTTTGGGGTTTATTTGACAGAGGAAGTGATGTAAAAAAAGAAAGAAAAGGAAAAAAGAAGGAAGGGAAATGAGAAAATGGAAAAGAATCAAAATTTTTAAATCTTTTAATTTATATCCGAGAATCTGGTGTCTTTTTAAGCTCCTACTTGACCAACTCATAGTATAACTATGCTTCTAGGAACATCAGTCACCATGCGAGGAAAAGAATCGGGTTAATTAAAAGGTCAAACAAGCAGCAAAGAACACATCTGATAAAGCAACAAAGAATTCCATCCCAAATACTACGGATACAGGAATCAGAAACTGCAGTTCAAGTAATCAGCAATAAATGAAAGAGAATCTCACTGAAGCATACCTGAAGTTTTACATAAGTGATGTTCCAAGCACTCCAGTCTTTGTTTCGCCTTAGATCCACTAAAATATTGTGGCCGCGTATTTGCTTGATGTTTGCTCCGAAATAGTCATGCTTGTCAGACAGTTGTCCAAAGAAAGGCACTGCGGGAGGCTCTGGACGATCATAGTCTTGTTCTATGGGTATTTCCATTGTCACCTGCAAATTACTGAGCTAAGCAAACAAAGACGACAAAACTGTATTCAAAAAAAAAAAAATTGGCCAACGCACGGGCTGCCCGTGCGAAGATGCGTTTTTTGCAGAGTTCC